ACATATTTTAATGCTTTTTCATGCTTTTATGAAGATATATGTATATAGATTGTTTCATGCTTATAATTCTTTCTAAATGCAAGGAGTCCATGTAGCATAAAAATAAGTTTCTCTCTACCATCTACAAACTCATATCAATTCATAAATGAATAAAACTCATGCATACACTTCTCTTGGACATCTCATCAAACATATTGCATGCATAATCAAACTCTAATTTGACTACAATTCTATCTCTTTCTCAAGGCACCAATATTTGGAGTAAAACTCCCTTAAACAATTACTAAACCTGTCCAAAACAATACACTCCCAAAAATTCTACTCAACTCTTTTTAACTTCAACCAAACTTTAATTAATCGTCATACAACCAAAACCACTTCTCATGACTAAATTCTATTCATCAATAATCATCAAACTCATCAATAATTCATCAATTTCATCAACAATTCTCAAATCATAAGCATATACATGTATGTAAAATCTCTACACACTTGATTTCTCAAATCATAACTTGGGTGGGATTTACTTACCTTTGATATGAGCAATCCAACCCCTTTTAGAATCTTCTTTGATCACACTCTCTTCTTCTTAAATCCTATGAGCACAAACCATCAAAATTCAACACTTTAAAAATGAAAAATCACTTCTTAGTGCAAGGATCTTACCTAAAGTTGCTTGGGATTGAAAATCCACTCAAAAAGACCCAAAATCTATGAATTCTTTTGAAAAAGAAGTGATGAAATTGAGAGTATTTGGAGGAGAAGTGGCGTGAAAATGGGTTGAAGAGTGGCTAGGGTTTCACTCTTCAATCTTTGATATAACATAAAAATATATATAGTTTCCCATTTTTCCCTTGCACTTTCTTTAAAATTCCATCTATGTCACTTAGTCAATTACCATAATGCCCTCATTTTTATTGCATTCTCCATGAAATTCTATCTCTTTTCACTCCCCACTTTTTCAACTAATTTTGAGTGAAAAGATCATTTTACCCTTAATGCAATTTTAAGGCATTTTCTTCACATTTTCTCAAAATAACATTAGCAAAATTCAACTAAAGGTATAAGACCATAAATTAAATTACGTACCTCCATGTGAGCATTACAGTTGCCAAGACTATATTGAGTTCGCCTTGAGCCTCTTGTACCACCTCTTGGCATCCCCTACTAAAGTGACCGCAAAGCATCGGCACTTTACCAAGTTAGAGACCTGATGCAGCTCCATCAAGTCATTGAAAAAGTCTAGGTGGTCTTTGGGATCCTTGTTCCCATCTAACTTGCTCTCTGGTGCTCTAAATCCCTGGGAAAGTGGGGCTTGGCGAACTTCCTCCATGAACAAAGAACTCAATATCTCTTCCGCCGAGTTATTTTGGTGGGCTCTTAGATCATCGAGCATTCTCTGCACTCGATCTAAGTCTTCTCCATGAGGAGCATTCTAGTTGCAAGCTTTGTTTAGCCTAACCTTGAGCAAGTGAGCTTAGAGATCAGTTTCTTGTGAGCTTGCTCTGTCGTGCGCATCAATGCTCGAGGTGGAGTCATGATGGTTAGGATACTAAGTGCTATCATGCTCCTTAATATGTTGCTTGCGACGTTGGTTAAAACCAAAACATTGGTTGTTGCTAGATTGGAGAGCATAGGTAATCTTGCAAGTTTGTGAGACTTGAGCTCGTCCTTGGCGTGGGTTAAAACCGGCACACTGGCATTGGGGATATTGTCGAGCATCCCTTGGGCGACCATTGCCTTCATTCTCCCCCATAGGCTGCTTGCCCAGTCACCTCCCGAGGTTAGTTTGCCTGCAAGACTCATGCTCTTGATTGGAGGTCGCCCGACAATGTCGAGGGTTTTGGTCGTTCCGCGATGCTAACGAACCTTATTAGTCGCTGACAAACATACAAAGTTTAATCCTTTGCAAGTGCATGAATCGTAATCGCAACATAGTGCACAAGTAAGGGTCGATCCCACAGAGACTGGAGGTGTTCTCGTGATCCTAGTAACTATGCCTTGATGAATTAAAACGAGAATTGAAATAAAGAAAACATAAAAATGACATTTAAGTAAATCTAAATCTAACTATATAGAAAGAATCCTAGGGCTCTAACTACATCATAATCATCAGGTTACTTGTTCATCATCAAACTATCGTTCTCCCCACTCCATTCTAGGGTTCGTACATTATCGGGTTCAACCTAGTACTTTCATCATTCAACTAGCTAGTGGTGTATAACATAGGCTAAACAATGAAGGAACCAATTCGCATAGACACAAATCATCCATTCATGGAGCTAATCAAGATAGGCACGATGTCTCTCGTTTCTAAGATATTATCGCAGCCATTCGAAATAACCTAGTGTTTCCATCAACTAAACTAGCTAGTGGCATATATCCTAGTCTAGTAACGAAAACCTATTAAGCGCAAGACGATCCTAAAGACAATAACCAATCTATACCCTAGTAGGGCTACAAATCATTCATTCCATACCCAGTCTTGTCTCATACAATCAATCAACTAACATCAAGGTTGATTAGGCCTTACTATCAACTAAAGATTGAATTAAATGCAATGAATGAATCTAGAACATAATAGAATGGATCAAATAAATAGAATAACAATAAAACAAAAGCCTTCAATTAGATTACATCAAATCCCTAGAAAACAAAATACAACACAGAGGAAAAGAAACAACAATAACTGGAACCATAATCATGAAGAACAAAGGGGGAGGAAAGGAAGAGAACCTCCTCTCCTCTCTAAGCTCCACCTTTCCAAGAAGCCCTGAATGTATTCTCTCCAAGATGTTTATGTAAAACCTAAAAAATCCGTAAAAATGGACTAAAGCTGCCTTTATATAGTTTTAAGATAAAATGGCAAACTTGTAAATACTGGTCACCGAATTAGGGTTGGAAATGCGACATTTTTACATTCTGCACGATTTGCGCTGCGGCCTAGTTTATTTGTGCCAAGGCTCAGTTGAATTGCGCCCTGGCGCATTTGAATTAAGTTGTGGTGCGGTTTTGATGATTTTTTCTATGGCAAAAACCCTATGACACCACAGCTGAGATGAATTGAGCTGCGGCGCAATTTGGATTTCGTCAACTTTATGCCGCAGCTTAGAAAAGTGTGATGCAACTTAAAAGCGGAATTTCACTCTTTTTCTGCTCACCTTGATTTATCCGCACTCGACGGGTCCAGGATGTCTAAACACCAACACAAGCACAAATAATCCATCTTTTTTTTTTTTTTTTTTTTTTTCTGAATACTTGAAAACACAACAAAACCCATGATTCTAAGAGATAACAAAACAAGTAAGGAAACTCATCCTAAATAATGTGTTAAAACTTGAATTTCTTATAATTTCACCCCCAAATCACAAAATGAATATGCATTTCCAACACTCAACAGTCGTCAGCAGAATCTTTCCCTCCCAGGGGAGTAACTTCAATGAAGCATGGTTGATCAAGGTTCCGATTGGCCGACTACTCATTTCTTATCTCCAGCACATTCTATTGCACCACTTGTGTGACCATCGCCCTTATCATCTCCATCAAGGCCATTCTTAGGATTAGATCCTGCCCCCAACTAATTTGCAACCTGCTTCAATGGCAGTATTGGTAGGTAGTGCCGAGCGATGTCTTGATGCACCTCTTGGTGGGTGGCTTCCACATTGTCATGGTTTTCGGTTGTGGTTTTTGATTTGGTATGAACCATTGTAAGCTTTGAGTGATCAGGTCACTGATACTATTTGCCAAAAATTTTGAAAGTAGGCACCCCCGACCGGGGGCCGGGGGGGAATGGGGCCTTCTTCTAGCGCGAAAATGTTGTTGCAAGAATTACACCAACTAGAGTGATCCGATTGACCTTGGTAGAACCAGAATTGATGTGTGCATGATTAAAGATAACCAGCAATGCAATATGAATGCAAATGCAAAGCAAGTAAAGAACATTAAAGGTTTTTAAAGTGGTTCGGCAAGTTTAGATCTTGAGCCTACATCCACTATTTTTCTTATACAAGATTTTTACAAAGAAAAGAGCAAAATTAAAGGAATTACAATTAAGATTAAAATTCAACTCCGATATTCTTGCAATTGAGCACTAAGATCATACCATTATTGCTATTGATCCAATCTCTTCCGAAATATTTGGGATCTGAGCTTATTTGTGATTTGCTTGAAAAACTGTTGAGATTGGTCGAGCTATATCTCAACGAGCTTATGTTGGGTTGGACACGTGTCGAGCCGAACTGATTTTGGGTCGAACTATAATCTCACAGAATTTTGACTTTTCTGAGCTTAATGGAAAAATCACACACAACAGAATATAATGCAGCTTGGTTGTTATTTAATTTATCTTTGTTTGCTTTCATGGGATGAATTTTGAGTAATAAATCAACTTTTGACATTTATTAACATTTCTTTTAAGCGTCAGGTTTAGGCACTAAAGAGTAGAGATTAGCATATGTTCTGTTTTGTTTAATAGTTCTCTAAAATATATTAAATTTAATTTTTTCTCAATAAATTATGATACTTTTAAATAAAATTGGGGAGGACTCGAAGTTGTAATAATAACAAAACATAAACGATGATAAGAATTCACCTGGTTTAGCTAAACTAAATACAGTATGTTTAATAAAAATTAAAGTATTGATTTCCCACAAAAAAAAGCCAAAAATCTTTTAATATTTAAATATCTTTAGGTGATAACCCAAAAGGAAGAATAATATTGTTACAAGTAAGATTAAATTTAAAAAAAAAAAAAAGCAATTAAACTCATATTCCCAAACCCAACAAAAGCTGGAAGCAACCAGAACTACATATAATAGATGTTGGCTTTAGAAAATATTTTCGATGTAAAACATGATTAAGCTATTAATACTTGAACATAGATCATTCAGCCCAATATAATTTATATCATCGATAAACTAAAAATTAAGAACAAATGATATATTATATATTGCAAGCAAAAAGTACAAAAAGAAATATAAAACTTTCGTCAAAAATACGAATCAAATGAATGGAAGATAGTATTTGCTTCTACCACCATCATCTTGCTCTTCATCAACAAATAAATCTCCAAAGTCGGCACACTCATAATCATTAGTCACACCAGGAAAAAACCGCTTCTACAAGAGCTGAATTTGCTGCAATGTCTTCAGTAACATCATTATCATTCATAGGTATTGTGGCTTGCGATTCTACTCATTCTTGACAATTTTGAACCTTGAAGAATTTATCAGACCCAAGATTCTCATCAAACGTCAGCTTCAATGGTGGTCCACGCTTCAGGAGTTCAGAAAGAATAACTACACAGAAAACAACAATGAGTCAGTGAATTATCAAGAACAAATAGTTTTGGAGCGGATCATTATCAGTGTGAATTACGCAGAATGTAAAGTTTCCAATTGTAGTTGGCAAAAAACTATCCTAAAGACAGTAACCTAATGATGCAGGACATAAATGCAAATGGGTATTTAGTTCTTATCTTCTACTTTTAGGATTGAGTATTTGAGTCCTTGGTATCCCTTTCTTGATTTCTCTTTCTCCTCTTAACCTATTAATTTCTCTCTATCTCCCTATATAGAATCCTATACTATCTATCTATGTTATTCTTCTCCTCCTCTTATCACCCAAGGAGTAAAAATATTATCTACTGGACATTATAATTACCAGGAGTTTTGTCCAACATTTCACAACATCAAGAATCTCCTAGAAAATGGTTAAACGGCACATCCACAAAAAAAAAAAAAAAAAAAAAAAAAAAAAAAAATTTGAATGAACTGACAAAACATATGCTACAATGAAATCTATACAGATTTGAGACAGGTCTAGATCTAAATAATTGAGACTCATAGCTTAGTTAACAGCCTATAACTAAGCAATAAGATAGCACTGTTTGATAACCTTGGGGGGATCTTATCCGAGTCCATTTTCAAACCATGCTACTTCATAGATTTCAATGGAAATTTTTTTTGGGTAAGTATTTTAGTGGCAATTTGAAATCCCATATTGACCAAATCTCCATGGATCATCAATACAGCAACTGCATATGTAACAGCAGATCATATTTCTCTTGACCACAATGTTGTCATGTCAACTGTTCCAACATATAGATCCCATTGACCCGCCCCAGCTGTGCATCCATATTCTTTAAGACTTTATAGTTAAAAACCTTCTCTAATGCTCTTCTTGCTTTGTCTTCATCAACTATATCTGAAAGAGCACATGCTCGTGCATGACTACATTAGAGACACACCTGGTAAGTTCTAGTCTTATCAGATTTGAACTAAAAAGAATATATATTGAGAAAAAGAAACATGTGAAACATTATAAATAAATCAAGATTTATCAGGCCAAGATATTTGAGAATATCAATGAATGAAGTTAATCAGTTGCAACATACCATCTTCTAGTAAACTGATCAGCTTGAATAGATGAACTTGAGCAGCTACCATTATTTTCATAGTTGAAGTAAGAACCATTCCACAATTTCTCATATACAACTTTTGCTTACTGAAATTTGCACCAGAAATAAACCTCAAACCCTTGAGACCTACTTCATGTGCAAACGCCGACGTAGCCTGCAATGCTGCCACCTCCACTATATGCACTTACAATAGAAACAGATTATGTATTATATGTCTGATTAGGGAAGCCATCATTCTCAATCATCCCCATGACTATCTCTATCAAATTCGAACAAATGAAAGGGTTTACTGAACCTTCTTCTTAACGTAACCAAAATAGAGTATATGGGTAGCTGGATGAACTTTTGCAGAATTCTACTCTAAAAAAAGTTTAATACTCAATAAATTTTTATCAAGTAAACTTTAATTTTGCTTTTGGAACGGAAACTAAGGAAGTTGGTTCAAACATTCACGTTAATTTTTTGCCTTAATTAGTAACTACATGACTAAGGACATTGTACATTCAGTTGGCTTCACATTTCTCTCTACCATCTTATGAAGGAGTTCAACAACTTTTGGTACCTTATTATTCTTGAGGAAACCAAATATGAGCGTATTAAATGTGACTACATTTGGAGCACAACCTTTTTCCTCCATATATTAACTCATTTGCTTTTTCTAGTTGTCTATTTTTACATAGTCCATTGATCAAAATGGTATATGTTACAACATTTGGCACTAGGTTTTCATAAAGACGGAATTTCTTAAATAGGTCCCAAGCAATTTCGAATCTTTCTATTTTACATAATCCATCAATGAGGGAACTCAAACCTACAATGCTAACTGCAAACTTATTCTTTACTAGAGTATTAAACATTTCCACCGCTTCCAAAAACACATCCATTCTTGCAAAGTCTATCAATGAAAATGCTGTATGTCCAAGAATCAGGTAAAACACCATTAAGTTGCATCTCACCAACTAAGTTCCGTGTATCTTTTACATTGCCTTTAACAAAAAGGCCAGTTAACAAAGTGTTATACATAATCACATTAGGCCCAATTACTTCATAAATCATCTTTCGATAAAGATAAAGAGCTATGTTGACTTCTTTATTCTTGCAATACCAATTGATTAAAGTATTGTAGCAAACAACATTAGGTCTATACCCCTTTCTAGTTACATAATAAAATAACTCCTTTGCATCACCAATTCTATCTGCCAACCAATAACCAATCATTAACATGCTGTAAGTATAAATGTCAGGAACCACACCTCTCTGAATCATATGTTCCAAAACAAGTGTCTTGCCTTCTCAAGCAATCCAACCTTACAAAAACCATCAATTATAATACTACAAGTAACAACATCTGGCCTACAAATAACTTCGGATTTTTTATTCTCCTTTGCCATTTCTTCATGTAACTTAATAGCAACATTTATCTTCCTTGCTTTACACAATCCATCAATCAAAGTCCCATAAGTAATCGTATAAGGCCTACAACCAACAACAGCCATTTTCTTAAACAATTCCGTTGACTCCATTATCTTTTTCTCTACACACAGACCTTTAATCAAACAATTAAAAGTCATAGTATTTGGGCTAAAACCCAACTTCAACATCCCCCAAAAAACCGTATAACCATTAGAAATCCTTTTCATATTACACAAGCAATTAATCAAAATATTCAAAGACAAAATCTAGAGACAACTCAGTTGAATTCAACCTCTTATAAAGCGAAATCACTTCATAATAATGTTGCTTCTTAGCCAGTGCACCAAACAATATATTGCATGATGACATTGGAGAAATGGGTTGCGAATTAATCATGTAATCAAAAAAGTAAAGAGCTTCATTGAATGTAAAGTTACCTGATCGACAAATTTCTTTGAGGAATTTAGCAAGTGAGGATCGTTCAAGGGCTTTTTCGAAAGAATACAAAACTTCATTTTTAGGGCTTAAGGTTGTGAGGCTGTGTAAGCGAGTTAACAAAAATAAAACATTAACTATCAAAGATGGGTTTGGGGAGATTGAAGACGAACGAAATGGGGATCTCAAAGCCATGTATGAAGAGTGTCTTTTTGTGACTCGTTTTTCGGGAAAAATTAACTCCCCGGACATCCCAAGTTTCCATTTAACAAAATGACCCTGAAAATCTTTTTGATTTTCTTTTTTATTTAGAAAAGCTGACGTGGCAAAGTTAGCATTCATTAAACATGTAAAATGGGTTAAGCTGAAAAGATTTAAACGTATGTGGAAAAAATCATAATTAATGAAAGTTATTGAAATTTTGAAATTTAAAAATGAGCCCCACCCATCCAAAATCGCTTAATAGAACGTATTAGGCAAAAAACGACTGACGAACCCTAAACCCTTTCTCTGCAAATTCTGGCGACTATGGTCCCACATTCTGGCAAATTTTCAATCTATTTTCAATCCTAAACCTTCCTAACACAAAACCATGGCTGACATTCACAAAGAGGAGGAAAACCCAACCCCACTTCGAATTGTAGACTTCGGCGGGGCGAGCAGTTCAATGGCTATCAAAGATGACTCTCCGGCCGACCATTCGATGAGTGAAGGTGGTCCACAGGTAGAGGAGATGATGGCGGCAAAAGAACAGGGAGAAGAATAAGAAAGCAGTTTTGAAGAGGGGGACACTAGCGAGAATTCAGGCGAGAAGGACGACACCGGTGAAGAAATGGTATGTATTTTTCCTTGTTTTTTTGAATTGATGAGAAAATGGATTGATTTGTGCGAATTTGGGGGAGATGTGGTTGTGGCCTTTTGTCGAGCAGTTGGCAGACATTGGTGGATTGACTTTGTTTGGGTTCCAGAGGATGGGGGAAGGCAAGGGAGGCCGTAGGGAGGTTGTACACCATGTATAATTTGTGAGATATTGAATGTGTGATTTTATTTCGGCTTATTTGGGATTATTAGACAGTTGTTTCTAGGTGTGTGCATTTGATTGAAATTGTGTACTAGTGTTTTTGGAAAGTGGCAGCCTTGTCCAGAGGTGCAGCTAGATTGCTATAGTGTTTGTAGATTCAGGGAGTTTGCAGCAGCAGTAGTTTGCAATTTTTTGTGCTTGCCTAGGGATGTTGCAGGTTGTTTAGGGTTGGCTAGTTGTTTTTGCTGTTTCTATAGTGCTTTTGCTGGTTGGAATTGCTGTAGTAGATTTTTGCACTTTTTTGTTTATAAGGAATTTTTGGAGGGACAGAGGTTTCTCCAGAGTTACAGCTTGTCTACTGCATTTGGTGGAGGTCTGGGAGATTCTTGCAACCTATTTGGTGTTGTGTAATATTGGTGGGTCTTGGTAGTTTCTTTTCCTGGAAATGCAGCCACTTTGTTGCATGTTTGCTAGTGGTACGGGGCCTAATGTCTATAGTTTGTGTGGGGAATGAGATTGGGGGGGGGGGGGGGGAATCCCCACAATTCGGGGATTTTTCCCCTTAGTTCGGGGCAGGGACAGGAATTCCCTATCATCCCTATAGTGGGGACGGGACGTGGACGGGGAATGGGACATCTGGCCTCGTTCCACCCTGTTGCCATCCCTACTTTTATGCAATGCAAGAACCCAAGTGGTTTAATGTGAGTTAAAGCACCCCATGTAGGACACATCATGATAAATTCCTTTGATTCAATCCATGTTTCTATGGTTATTGCAGTGAACCAAATGAGCATACCCCTAGACCATCAAGAATCCATGAAAGGTGCTGTATGTGCTGTAATAAGAGATTTTATTCGCATGTAGAGCAAGTAATAATATTCAAAAGTAACAAGTTTTTTGTGTGATTAATACTGTTTTTCACTCAAAACATTAGGCTAAGACATAATTTCTATTATCTCATCACTGACTAACAAACATTGGCAAATTGAAAGCTTTAACAAGTGAAAATCCTAAATCCACACCATCTCCCCCATGAAGAACAGAACATCATATTCCTTACATCAGTATTTTCATATATAATATCACAAAATCCAGGTAATACTGCGCGCGTTGTGCAAGGGGTTGCATGATTGTTTGCATAGATTTTAGAATTTAGTGTGAAAACAAAATTAAATATGTATAATTTGGAGATAGATTACATAAATATTCATTAGAGCTTGCCGATAGAACAGAAAACTAATAGCCGAAAGATTCATTAGTTCTAAAAAGCAGGATATACCTTGGACAAAGCATGCATAACACCTTCCATATGATTGATGTCAGTATATGATTAGGCAGCTTATTATTAGAAGAAGGTCACTACTTTTAGGTTGGCTCACCGTGACTACTCAACTTTAGACCATAATTTCTAAATCAAATAGAACCAATGAAACCACAGAAAACCTTTTTTTTTTCTTTTTTTTTTCTCATACACATGAAAAGATTAGTTGAAAAGTTGATTGTATGATACTTTTTCTTTGTTACAAAGTATGTTGGTAGCCTATTAGTTGTATGGGTTTCTTTTTTTTTTTTGCTAATATTTAGTTTATATCGACTGTGCAGGTTTTCCAGAGCGTAAACTATAAAGACTATGGGTTGGAAGTAGTCAACGATAAGGTACCCTACTTCCCTATAAGGGTAACAGTTAGGTCTAGTTGGCAAGTTTTTACAAGAATAATGGAGATTTTAAAGGAACTGGGGAATGGTGTAGATTGATTCAAAGCAACTTGTTTCGGTCATTTTATGAAAATGGGAGAAAATTGGAAAAAGGCGTTCTGGGGGCAGGGAGTGCATTATATGTTGATGCACTCAGTTAAAAGCAAAAAAAAGAAAGAAATGTGGTTCGTGGTGGATGGGAAGCCACTACGTTTTGGGATGATGGAATATGCCTTGGTGACAGGCTTAAGATGTGGGAAATTTCCAAAAGCGGCAGAGCAAGAGGCAATAAAGAACAGTGGGGCAGCCGTAACATTCGCTAACAAGGTTTTGGGGGAGAAAACGTCTATTATGGGGCGTGATTTAGAGAAAGGGATAGAAGAAGGTGGGGATACCTCTTCGGAGAGGTTCAAAATGTGCCTGGTATGGTTCGCGCATTCGATCCTAATGGTTGCTGACTCAACAAAGTCGTTAATATGGATTGGGTGAAGTATGCAACCAACTTGAACTTCTTTAATGCTTATCCGTGGGGATGGGCATCATTTACGCAAACCATGAACTCCCTGCAAGGAAAAGACATGGCTTTAAAGCAGTCCCAATTTGTCGGTCAGAATAGAGCAAGCACATACAATTTGTTTGGCTTCCCATGGGCAATGCAGGTAAACATTAGGGGCTTTTTTTTTATATTTTTTGTATTATATGTGTTTTAATTATAATATGGACTATTTTGTTACAATGTAGGCTTGGATGTATGAGGCCATCCCTGTCTAGCTAAGGCGAGGGGGGGGGGGAGGATGAAGACTTCGGATGAGACTTCATCCGAGCGACCACAATTTCCTAGGATGTTGCGATGGCACATCGAGAAGTGTACCTATTGGGATTACGACAAAATAGACATGGAAATTCAAGTAGCTGGGGTAAGATTAAAGGATTAAGCTTTTCAATATGCACTTGCTTTTAAATGTGGCTTAAAACTGATTGATTTTGTTTCTTATTACAGGGAGTCATCCGTCACTTCCTCACCGCTACTAAGGGTGAAGTGGAAGAGGACTATGTCACATCCTTCGAAGCATTGGAGGATGAAGCAGATGAAAGGATAGACCGCCTAATGCGGGACCTAAAAGGGGTCATGCATGTGAGTGCAGCTACAGGGCCACTACTTTAGAATGTTGGTGACACTGAGGATGATGAAGCTCTAATCGGCGAGAAGGAGGAGGTGGAAGAGGAACAAGTTCGTACGCCTCCACCCAATTGGAAAACTAGTCAACAAGTACCGCTTTGTCGAGGCATCAGGGTCGGGAGAATGAGGTGGTTGACCTCATAAATGGTCTGTTTGAGAGTTTTACAATAGCCGTTTATGAGAAGTTTGAGAAGATGGAAGAGCGGATGAAAATGGTGAAGGAGAAAGTTAAGAAGGTGGCAGAGGCAGTTGGTAGGGTGGAGGAGGAAGTTGGTGGAGGATTGAAAGCGATTGAAGTGCAACCTGAACTGAAAAGACAGAGCCGAAAGAATAAGTTTGTCAAATCTCCTTACATCGTAGCAACGTATGGAAGGAAAAGGAAAATGAAGAAAAAATTGAGGAAGTCCAAGAAAGTGGAGAAGCGAAAATGGAGGAGGTTAAGGAGGTTGGTGGATTAAGTGGGGAAGTGACAATGGAGGAGGGTGAGGCGGCACGCCAAGGAAGTGGGGATATGCAAATGGAGGAAAGGGGAGGAAGTGGACAAACGAAGGTGGAGGAGTTAAAGGTTGATTTATATAGGCCAATAGAGGAGGAAAATAAAAAACTCTTCTATGCCTATTACAATGAATCTGGAAGTGATGCCTATGTGAAGTGCAAGACTGGGGATTATCCCCGAGACTGGTTCGAAAAGATGTTAATGATGGGTAGGTGGCTTGACGACTCGGTGAGTTATTTTCCCTTATTTTTTCCTTATTTTTGCTTATGTTTTCCATGAGGTA